CGGTCACCTGCAGAGACTTATCATCTGACACTCCACTCACACCAGTTCTATGATCTTTTGATCTCTCTGCCCTATATCGTTTTGCCTATAAATTCTGTGTCTGTGGCCTGGCTCTCCTCTCTCACTGCGCTTGACTAAGGGGCTGCATTCTGGAAGCTTGTGTGATTTCAAATAAAACCAGGTGTTGTGTGACTTCTGAGTTTGACAGCCTCAGTTTAGGAAGCCCTGCTTTTAATGGGAGCAATCTCTGAATGACACTCACTATCATTCACAGAATACAGAGAAAGGGGGATCGTGCAGCTGAGTGTGCGGCTCGAGAGATGGCGCTGGAGGAAAGGCTTTAGGTTCTTGGGATATGGGAATCTGTACGAGATTAGCAGAACCAACGCAGGCCACTTGCTCCCCCTGTTGGGGAAGATTTAAACAAGTCTCACAGGGAAACGGGAATTGAAAATTGGATTCAGAAGAAAAAGTCACAAAACTGTAAATAAAGGGTGGAAAATTAGTCAGCAGTTAGAGCAGGTGGGGAAAATAAATGGTGGAGATACACAGCTAAGTAATTGATCAATGATTAATGGCATATTCCTCAATATAAAGGGTTTAATGAATAAGGCAGATGGACTGAGGGCACTGATAGACTTGGAAGCTTAATGTGGCTTAAAGAGGAGGCAAGTCCATATTCCTAGTGATAGGGTTTGCAGATGGGACAGAGAGATGGATAACATATCAACATACACATTAGAAACAGGCCCTTAAGCCTGCTCTGCCATTCAAATAAGATCACAGCAGATAGAATCCCTGCAGTGTAGAAACAGGCCACTCAGCCCCTCAAGACCACACCAACCCTCTGAATAGCATCCCACCCAGACCCACTCTGTACCTGTAACCCTGCATTTCCCATGGCTAACCCACCTAGCCTGCACATCTCAAAGATCAGCCATGATCTTATTAAATGGTGGGGCAGGCTCGAGGGGCCAGATGGCCTACTCCTGCTCCTAGTTCTTATGTTCTTATCCCTGGACATTATGAGCAATTTAGCATGGCCAACCCACCTAGCCTGCATATCTTTGGACTGTAGGTCGGAAACTGAGTACAGTTAAAGTGCATGGGACCAGTGTGTGTGCAGGAAGTGTCCCCAACTGCAGTTCCTGGAAGCCTGGGTTTCGGAGTTGGAGCAGTGGCTGGGGACACTGCATCCTCCTCAAATCTGAGAGCATTGCGGATAGCATGGATAGAGAAGTGGCCACACCACATGCTAAGACTCCACAGGCAGAAATGGAATTGGTGGCCACCAGGCAGAGTAAGAGGACTAGGCAGGCAGTGCAAGAATCCTCTGTGGGTCATTCCCCTGTAAAACAGATTTGGATACTGTTGAGGGGAATGACTTCTCAGGGGAAAATAGCAACAGTCAAATTCATGGCAATACAGCTGGCTCTGCTGCATGGGAGAGAAGGGATAAGTGTGGGAAAGATGAACTGAAGGAAATCAGTTTTGGTAAAGAAATGGTGTTGGGGAAACTGATTGAATTAAAGGTTGAATAATCCGCAGGGTCTGATAATCTAGAACATAGAGCAGTATAACACAGTACAGGCCCTTCGGCCCACGATGTTGTGCCAAACTTTTACCCCAAACCTAAGGTTTATCTAACCTCCATCCCTACCTTATACTATCATCCATATGCCTATCTAATAGCCGCTTAAATGCCCCTAATGAGGCCGACACCACTATCCTCTCCGGCAATGCATTCCACGCCCCTACCACTCTCTGAGTAAAGAACCTACCTCTGACAACTCCCCTGTATCTACCTCCACTCACTTTAAAACTATGCCCCCTCGTAATAGCTACCTCCACCCTAGGAAAAAGTCTCTGGCTGTCCACTGTATCTATACCTCTGATCATTTTGTACACCTCTATCAAGTCACCTCTCATCCTTTGTCGTTCTAAAGAGAAAAGCCCTAGCTCTCTCAACCTTTCCTCATAAGACCTTCCCTCCATTCGAGGCAACATCCTGGTAAATCTCCTCTGCACCTTTTCTAACGCTTCCACGGCTGATAATCTACTTCCCAAAATACTTAAGGAAGTGGCCCTATAAATAGTGGATGCATTGGTGGTCTCATCTTTCAACACTCCATAGAATCTGGAACAATTACAAAGTCTGAGAGCATGGAAATAGACCCTTTGGTCCAACTCATCCACATTTGATGATCAGCCATGATCATACTGAATATCAGAGTAGGCTCAAAGGGCCGAATGGCCTGCTCCTCCTGTGTTCTGTACATCAAATCACTGTGTCTAGGATTTCTTGGTCAAAGGGACCCTGCTGATGGCAAGCAAGGCTGGAGAATATCAGCCTGTCTCTCTGCCTTGGACTCTTGTCTGATCTGCAATCTTGAAACTTCGTCATGAGGTTTTACACTCAGTTTGCCCTTAGCTGGGGCAGCCTGGGAGGGAAGCGTGATCCTGCTTGGTTGCTTCTCTGCTTAAGTCCATCCAACAACCCATCAGCTCCTTGAGAAAGACCACGCCCCTCTTCTGCCATTTCCCTGTCTTTACTTTGTTCAGGTGCTGCTCCTTCCCAACATTAGGTAAATCCACGTACCCCTCAATTATATCAGTGTTGGATAGCTTGAGATGCTGATGTACTTAAAGCAATTCCTTTGGCTCTGCAGTGCTGTCTAGGCTACCTATCTTCTGGTAGATCCCCAGAACTGAATTGGCCACAGCTGTTAGGAGTTGTATGGCCTCCTGGTTCCTAGCATCCAGTGTGTCTCAAGGGAATCCCTTTGTATTCTGCTGCTGATCCCACTCACCTGTGGGTTGATCAGAATCTGCCACCTAAGCCCTGGCTTCAACAATGCTTTATGGAGGGCTCATCTTTGTCACTGGATAGTTTCACAGCGCCTTCCAGGAATGCACACAATATTGCCTTTACCAAGATTCATTGTACCCACTCAGAGGGTTGCAGGGATGGGGAGGACGTGAGGGAGGATGGTGTAAGAAATGGGATTGGTGTCAAGATCTACTGTATCAACCTGAAACAACACAAAAGAACAAGAGACACTGTGTATTGTCTGAAGCAGTGTATGGGGGTAGCCATCTGGCCAATCAAAGCATAGTACCTCTGGCTCCTGGTCCATTGTCCTGCAATCACTACCTGAATTTAATGCTGAGATAACAAGGTGTTGAGCTGGATGAACACAGCAGGCCAAGCAGCATCAGAGGAGCAGGGTGGTCTAGGCCCGAAATGTCAGCCTTCCTGCTCCTATGATGCTGCTTGGCCTGCTGTGTTCATCCAGCTCTACACCTTGTTATCTCAGATTCTCCAGCATCTGCAGTTCCTACTATCTCTGAATTTAATGCTATCGTTTTCACAAATCTCATTCTGACTTATTGAATGTTTTGCTGGTATGTTCCCAGGAATAAGCCCCTAAAAACTGACACCTTTTCATGTTTGACCGCACACAAACCACTCTGTGTAAAAAATTTGCCCTTGTGTCTTTTTAAAAAATCTTTCTCCTTTCGCCTTAAAAATGTACACCCTAATCTTGAAATTCCCCCACCCTAGGGAAAAGACACCTGCCATTCACCTTATCTATACCCCTCATGACTTTATAAACCTCTACATGGTCGCCCCTCAAATCTCCTACGCTCCAGTGAAAAAAGTGGAGTGAGGTGGGGGAATTGACAATAATGGCTTCAGGTTTCCCATATTTAACTGGGAGTAATGTGGTTGAGTCTTCATGGCTAACTGAAATGTGTCAGCAAACCACTCAATTGTATGGACTGCTGAGACAAAAAGGAATAGAAATTGTATGAAGCACCCAACAATGACGTAGGCACCAGACACAACAATGGCACAAACTGCATTGTCTGGGTCTATTACCTAGAGGGAGTCAACCCACAGGCTGCCATCTCCATACTGACGGGAATTACGCTGCACAAACACCACATAGTCTGTCACAGGATGTGGACATCACTGCCCAAGAATCAAACACATCACTGTGGGTCTGGAGTCACATATAATTCATAGCAGGTAATGGTCATCATTAGATTCTTTAATCCCTGGGAACATTATTCTGGATCCCTGGATTAATAGTCTATTGACAATATTGCCAGGCCCATTAGACCCCCTTAATTTACCCCACAGGGGAAGAGACAGGTTGAGAAGGAGAGTCCTTCTCTGTAACTTCAGCCTTTGTGCGAAATGAACCCACAATGTTTTTGTCTCACACACTGCATCGCAAACCAGCCATCCTGCCAACTGATCTAAATCTACCCCTATAATACTCTAGTTGGTCTGATATAAATGTTTAAAAAAATATCTGTGGACGCTGGAAATACAAAACACCAACAGAAAGTGGTAAACACAACACTGAAGAGGAATCATGTCACTGAACCCATTAACTCTGTTCTCCCGCTATAGACACCGCCAGACCGGCCGAGTGTCTCCAACAAATTCCTGCTTTTACGCTCATTGGTCTGGTTGCTAGGGGCCCCGTGTATATTATGGTCTAGTCAGTTGCTAAGGGCTCACCTTTTATGGCCTGACTGGTTGCTAGGGGCCCGGGTATTATGGTCTGTCCGGTTGCTAGGGGCCCCCGGGTATTATGGCCTGACTGGTTGCTAGGGAGCCCAGGTATTATGGTCTGGCCGGTTGCTAGGGGCCCAGGTATTATGGCCTGACCGGTTGCTAGGGAGCCCAGGTATTATGGTCTGTCCGGTTGCTAGGGGCCCGCGTATTATGGTCTGTCCGGTTGCTAAGGGCCGGGGTATTATGGTCTGGCCGGTTGCTAAGGGCCCGGGTATTATGGCCTGACCGGTTGCTAAGGGCCGGGGTATTATGGTCTGGCCGGTTGCTAAGGGCCCGGGTATTATGGCCTGACCGGTTGCTAAGGGCCGGGGCATTATGGTCTGGCCGGTTGCTAAGGGCCCGGGTATTATGGTCTGGCCGGTTGCTAAGGGCCCGGGTATTATGGCCTGGCCGGTTGCTAAGGGCCGGGGTATTATGGTCTGGCCGCGGGCTGGGGACAGGGGCCTCTGTTGCTGCTCCGGCGGAAGCGAATCCGGGGCCGCACGGAGCCCGGGAGCGGGTCTGAGAGACACCGAGAGGGAGAGAGAGAGGAGCTGGGACAGGGGCCAGGCCAGGTCGGGGCCAGTGCAGCCCAGAACCGCCAGGTAAGGGCCTGGGGAGTGTCCGCGGGCGGCCCGGCAGCTGGGCCTGACCCTGTCGTCAGGACCCCCGGGGGAGAGAGCGAGGCGAGGCCCGGGCCCGGGCTGACAGAGAGAGACACTCCCCGGCGGGGTCTCCGATCATGTACCCCCGGGGAGTGCCGGTTACCTGTCCCCACCCTGGGGGCGGTCCGGGTGGGGGGGTAGGGTCAGTATCTAGGGGTTTCCCTGTGATCCCAGCTCCTGCTCTGACATGGCCTTCTGAAGGTTCTCCTGTTTGCTGAAGATTTCTAAATTCCTCCGTTTCCTTCCTTCAAGATACTTCTTCTTTATATCTGTCTCCTTCACCAAGTTTTAGGCTAAAAGTCTCTTAACGTGAGCTCCTGTCAAATTGCATCTGATTTGAGGTTTAATTTAGGTTCTTTTATAGCAACGTTTTAAATGTTTTGCAATTTCTGTGGATTTTGCTGACCCAACCACACTATAGAATTCTCGAGCTATGATGAGTTAAGCTAGTGGAGAGGGTCATCAACCAGACTTCATAGATTCAGAATTAATTGCATGACCTCCCCAGGCCAGACTACATTGATGGATTCCCACCTTTTCACCGAGTAAAGTGATCTCGGATGTTTGACCACAATGTTCCAAGAGGATTTTTAACTGCTCTTCCTGCTCCTGGATACTATCCATTCAATAGAAACTGTGGAACTTGGGTAGAGGGAGAATGTTGCCTGGTTGTAATGCCCCCTCGCGGGTAATAGCCTGGGTGATACTGTCTAGACTTTGGTAAGATACCAAAATCTGTACAGCACAGATGGGCGATGTGCATCGCTGTTTCCAAGAAAGATGGAGAACAAATTATTCACGGTGACATCCAAATTACTCGCATGTTTCCTCCAAAGACTTGTTTTCGCAAAATACTTGGTGCACGTTTTCTATTTTTGACATTCATCAATTGTGGGGATAACTGGTATGTTTGCCGGCCGTATACCTGAGCAGCCTGCTAGGCCGTTTCACTTCCATCTAAGACAGAGACAAGGGTGAATTTATTCTCCTGAGGGTTGTTAAGTGTTTGGAATTCTCTATCCAAGGAGCAGTGAAAGTTGGGTCATTGAATCAATTCCAGACTGGATTAGACCAATTTATTTATTTATTTTGATTGACCAGAGAGCCCAAGGTTATATGGGGGAGGGAGGTGTTGGGGCAGGTAGGAAAATGGAGTTAATGTCATGTTTGGCCTCACTAGCTTTGATCTTACCAACTGGTGGAGCAGACCAGAGGGGCCAAATTGTCTACTCCTGCTCCTATTTCTTAAGTCCTTACACAGTTAAAGAGTCCACCACGTTGCTATCTGAAGTCACATATAGGTCAGACTGGATAAGGATGGCAGATTTCCTTCCTTTAAAAGGGTTTTTACAACAGGTCTTTTGTGGTTGCCTTCAGCTTTTATGCCAGATTGATATAATTAACTCAAGTTAAGTTCACCAGCTGTCATGGTGGGATTTGAAGCCTCTGGAGCAATGGGTCAAGCTGGTGGATTATTTATCTGTTCGCTTATCTGCTGTGCTGCTGTAGACATTGTATAGCCAGTAATGTGTGTCTTCTTGAGGCCACTTCTGCTTAATTTGACTTCTAAAGGAGCATTATGTAGATGGTGGAGAGAAGAATGTCATCTGTTCTGCAAAGACTCTCCTCATGTCGTGTCTGTGGTAGAACCCTTGGAGAGTGACCCTTTTTGATTTTGTGCGTGGGAGATGGGCTTCACTAGCAAGGCTGCTTTTCATTGTCCATCTCTAGTTCACTGAAAAGGTGGTTTTCCTGAACCATTGCATGTCAAAATTTGACATGACCGAGTAACTTATTGTGGGCAGCGTTGAAGGCCATTCGCAGGATGGGGTTATCCTGGAAACAGTATTCTTCCATGAAGGAACTAGCTCAGGTTTTCTGAAAACAGACAGCTTCGTACTGAGTCACATTTACTGTACTCAGCCTTTTCTTTTTTTCAGTTTCTATGGTATTTACTTGGTTTTCCTCAAATACAATGTCAGATGGGCACTTCAATTGTCAACATCCAAATGGACTTCGCAATTTTGATTTTCTACTGTATGAAAATGAATATTAAGATGATATACAAGAAATTTTACATAAATTAAGTCAGAGCCATAAATTTACAGATGTAAATACATCTTTTGCAACTCAAATTTCAGCCCCACAATCTACTAAGAAACAATAAAATAGAGATGTAAGGCCTGAGATCCAATATCTTTGAAACTCTGCAAGAATGGCTTTTATTCCTTGACTTTCACAAGGGAGAATAGGTGGCATTGTTGTGAACTGAGATGTCAGGTTATCACGAGCTGGCATCTTGCTACTTGTGCAGTAGGGTGGGAGCTCATCCTCCAGTGACAAACGTCCACGGGTTTGTATTTGCAGAAATCAAGTGACCGAAGTTGTGGTATTTCAATGCAACCATGCGTAAGCCATTCTGTTGTCCCTTCCCCAGCAGTGATCATGAGCTGCAGCTAACTTGTGACACTTCAGGAATATGTTTAGGTGTTTTCTACTTCTAGCTTAGAAGTCAAGATAGGATCTATGATGTTGGGTCAGAATTGAGTGCATATTTGAAGAGACATGATGCTGGGGACCTGTTTATTTACACCTTTGAGGATGTCGGCTATGGCTTCATGTTAGTTTGGTGCTCTCCATCAATATGGGGTGGAGTGGTGCTGGTTAAAGCTGTTGTCTGTCACACTTCATGGGAGAGAATTGGATAGGATGAAATGCTGCAATTTCCATCAATGTTGGCTTGGGTGGTTTGTTTTCCTCACTGTACAATATTCACAGTTTGGGGAAAATGGACAATGCAATGTTCCTGTTGTAAATGTGCTAGAATATTGGCTATATTCTATATATAGCTGCAGTGATTGTATAGGTGTGGGGAGAATGAGAGGAAACCAGGCAATCGAGATTTTGACTGGACATGGGCACTTTTGCAGGATCTTCCTATTGCTGTGGTGGTGTGTGAGGGTTACAGTTGTAAACCAGGTAAGTTATGTGTATAAACAGAGGAATAATGCCAGGTCAGGGACTTCAATAGCTGCCCGATTTCTTGCCCAGCTGTCTGTTCCTGTGCCCCTCGGGTGCTGTAATATCAGAAGTAACACCATTCCCAGCCAGTTACCATCACTGAGGCAGATTAGTGAGGTGGTGTGTTTGTGTGAACTGTGAATTGAAAATACTTGAAAGTCTGTGACACTGTACAGAATGTCTGTCGTGGCTGCTTTGACTGTGGCATATTGGATCTTGTGCGTGGGCATTATCGTACGTGGGTATATGATGCACTCCACTACTGAAGTTGTATGTGGGTATATGCTGCACCCTGCTACTGGAATTGTACACCAGTCTGAATGACTGATTTTTTTGTAGTCAGGAATGCAGCAATAGTAAGTTCATATCGTTACATAGATGTTGATGAATTTCTTCCTGCTCCTGAATACAAACTGCCGCCCCTCTCTCCCCACCCCTCCCCCTGGCTTTGGGTGCTCGTAATTGTCTTCAGGCTTACGGTGTTGCTAAGAGCTACCTGAGTACAGCCTGGTGATAACTGCAGCTCGGTGTTGTCTCCTGCTCTTTGGGAGTGTTCTGGGCCTGTAAACTGGCTGGAGATTTAACAGTCACTGTCTGCTCTTTGGTGCAACCTTGCATCTTTCTCCACCTCCACATTCACCCTTCTCATGTGGCCCTTCTTAGTATTAGCCAATCAAATCAGCTTTCCATGTTGCTGTATCCACAGGATTAAGGATGCACTAACTCCACGTTTAAAACTTCACTTTTGATGAAGTCAGTTTTGAAGTCGAGGAAACGTCTGCTTTTGGGAGTGGCTGATTAAGTGTTAGTATTCAGCTCTGTCTCTCACTCAGGTGCCAGTAGTAAACTTCCCAAATGTTCCTGTGCCAGGTAAACAATGCCACTATTTGAAAAGGTGTGGGCGGGAGATCTGTGGTCCAGTTGCCCTGGGAGTCACTTGTTCTACCTCTCCCCATTCCCATCGATCTTAAGATAGCTAAGATCCCTTAGCCGTGGTAGCTGCTGGAGTCGTTCTCTGTTACGGACTTGCATCTTCTCTCAACAAAGCTTGCAGAGTGCTTGCAATCGCTGGCACCGTTCTTATGGTTTTGATAGGTCTTTGGGGAGTGTGTTTGTAGATTGCTCCACTTTTTCCCCAAGCATGCACAGTTTGAAACATTCCTTTCTTTCCTTTAGCAGCCTTGCGTGAGAGAATTGGACCAAGCCCTGGTTCAGTCCTGGTCCCAGGCGTTTCCCACAGTAAGTCACTGAGAAGCCACAGCTATAAAACTTGGTAATGATATCTGGGAAAGAACAGAACTGAGCTTATTTTTAGTGACCCGAGAGGAATATAATTACCTCTTCGCAGATTCCTAAACCACAGAAGTGGAAATGTTTGGCAATCCCTCCTCTTTGGGTTGGTTCCAGTTAAAATGTGAGTTGAGGGGGCCCTTCATAAGGCAAGTCTGGAGCATGCTTTGGTTGTTCTGATTAAATGTTTGTCAAAGCTGTTTTTAAAAAAGCTTGCACAGCAAGGCAGCACTCTTGAAGTCTGCCACTTTTCAGTGTGCGTGCACATTTGAAACTATGTTAGACAGTATATGGGATCACAGAACTCCTGAGAGGGTACTGTCTTGCCATCCCTCAACACTGGCCATCGGGCAGAAGGAGCCTTTCCTGTGAAAAGTGTATACGTTAACTGTTTCGTAAGTAACGCTGAACTGAAACAAGAACTGGTACCTTCCCCCTTATTGAATTCACCTCCGTTATGTTAAACAGGGGTAATTGTTGGAACTGCTCAGTATTCCCCCCTGCCCAGCTGTCTTAAATGGTAAGCAGTGCCCTCCTTCGTAGGTTTCTTTTTGTATCAGTTGTTCCACAACTCCCACCGGTAGTGTTGATGTAGTTTCTGTGACTGGTCTTGGCACAGTTTCTTATTC